CCCAGTAAACACAACGTTACATGTAATCCAAAAATAAATTATAATTTCCTACTTAACAATGTAAATACTATATAATATACGTGTTATAGAACAGTTACATTGTTGAGTACGAAATTATGACTAACTTTTAGATTACATGTAACGTTGTGTTTACTGGGAACTTTCTTCGCTCAGTTTGATTTAATATACAAACATATGATAACAAGCTATCAAAACTCATCTATCACATCGAGCGCGTAATCATTTGCCAATCTTCTTTAATTAATAACTCAAAGTGTATTGTTTCGAAAAAAATAGCGTTCTTATTACTTATCTTTATTTATTCTAGCGATATAATACTCTTGCTAAGGGTGCTGTCAAATACCCTGTATATAAATACGAATAGGAAAATGTAGGATTAGTATAAAAAATATTCACTTCATCAAAAAAAACGATAAAATACTACTTTATATGCATAGGTACATAATTAATGCCAATATTATTATTATTATTATTACCTATTATTATTATTACCTATTATTATTATTATTATTACCTATTGCAACGATATACTACCATTAATACGGTTCCATCTACCTTTGGTTCGGGTGTCGTAAAATACTCTGTATATAAATATGAATAGGAAAATCTAAGATTATTATGATAAACAGTACATTCCTTTAATCCGAAACCACAATGAAATATTACTTTATATGCGTAGGTTAATAGTTTATTATTTCAATATTATTATATTATATATTACTATTAATTATTATGTATAATACAACATTTATGTTACTAAATATGCGGAAAGTCTACACTGTTTCGAATGGTAAGGATTAGAACCTCGTCTAGTAAGTTTGGACTGATCGCTAAACAAAAATGTACAGCGGTAGCCTTTTGTAGCATAGCACGGAATAGGCATGAAAAATTACATGTGTATATTTCCTAGTATATTTATTACATCCTAGTATATTTCTGCTTGCCATATTTTTATTATTTACTCCAGTGGACTTTGTAATATATAACATATTCAGAGAATCTGTAAAATGTTTAATATATATATATATATATATATATATATATATATATATATAT